CATTCCTGCAGTCATAGTTGGGCTTCAATTCAGACCAGCCTCCCCATTTGCTCTCAAGTGTGCCCATTGCATCTCCATTTTCACTCTCTACTGTTTTGTCTTTCTAGAGGTACCAATGAAGTTTAGCAAGAGTTCCACCTCATTTTTTCTCTTCAAAACAAAAGGCAAATTTACATGATATCTTTAGTACATGGTAAGATGCCTCTAAACAGGAATTCATCTATGAAAACAGATTATAATTAAAAGGAAACGCAATACAGGATGCTGTTAAAAGAAGTTTGTTATTTGAGTACTGCAATTATTTTGTCTTCTTTCCTGTGTTTTCAATAAATATTTACAAATATACAACTTGTTTGTTGCTCTCAGAGCAAACAGGGAGAAGTTTCTGCAGTCAGGACTCTGATTTATGTTGAAATATTTAATGTTACAAATGGACAAAGTCATGACTGACTATCTTCCACATTTACCCCTTTGAATCAACATAGCAGATTTCACAAATGAGACATGCAGCTTTGTATTAAGATAGACACCACTCTTAAATGCTTTCTGCAGGAGGACTACCTTTTTTATTGAACTTAATATAACATGCTAGCACACAGTATCTGGATCATATGTAGTATGAAAAAACATACACTAATTATAAAGAAAATTGGAGCAGGTTTTGGCTCACTGTGGTCCTGACCTAAAGTATGAATTGAGGACTAAGGACATGGACTCAAGTGCATAATATAGCACTCTCATGTTCTGGTTTCTTTGCATTTGCCCCCAAAAGAGGCAGGTTGCATCCAGCCTCCCATCATTTCCATCCTTACAGGCAGCTCTCAGGCAGGCAGGAAGGACATGAGCTTTGCATCACCTCTGCCTGCCAGGTGTCCTGTGATCAGTTATTCAGCATCAGTCCAGCATGGGCTAATGCCAAGTCACATTAAAAAGCACTGAGCAGGTCTCCTAACTGCTATCAGGGCTCTTTTCCTGGTATCTGTGTGCCTCAAGTCTCACATCATGTTGCTTTTAGCTTATGAAAGAAGAGTAAACACTGACCAGAATGTCAGCCAAATGAAATGACCTGTCAAAACCAAACAGCTCCAGCTGTCATACTCCTCATCTCCCTGCTTGTAAATGGCTTTTTAAAAATCGGAAGCATAAGAGCAAGTTGTCCAAGGTCAGCTCTAAAGTGTGCTCTAACTTTGGATCCTTGTCCATTCATGGGTTTTTCAATTTATTTCCATTTCTGTGGCCTGACTGGCTAAAAACAAATACACAGAGTGTCATCTATCAACTAGATCCTTTCTAAGCACTGCATGAAATTAAGTGGGTCTGAAGGTCAAACTCCTTGTGGCTACAGTTCATCAAAGACAGGGTTCAAACTGGCAAATTATTTCAGTTCCCTTCCTTTAGTTAAATTATTCTCAAATTCTCTTTTTCCTAGAGGCTTTTCTTATATATATTTTTTTTCCTGTGGATGTTGGGGAAATTCAGAAGTGATCTCCTAGCCTGGAGCTCCAGGTCCATTTGTGCAAGAGTCAGTGGTGTGCTTACTACACCAGCATTTACACTTAAAACACCTGTGCCATGAGAAAGACAACACAGAATAAAAAATGACAGATCTGCCTTGCATGGGTAAGTAAAATAAACTCTACAGAATATTATTTCCACCCTGAAAGCATACCTTCTGCTATAGCTCCTCTGTGCATTTATCTTAACATTACTGGTACCTATACATTCCCTGTTCTGTTGCTTTTTATTTCTGTTAATACATCCCCATTAGATAGGTTCACTGGCAAAATCAGTCTGGTCTATTCAGTGCCTGCTGCAGAAGGGTTTCCACCTGACTGCCCCTACCCCAAAATGAATAATGAATACTTCAAAGAACTTCTGCATATGTAAAAGAGTAACCTTTGCCCAGAAGGAGGCCTGGCCTCTAACACACTAGTAGAATAAATCATTACCCAACAAGCAGGAGTAATGCCTCTCCTCTTAGTCCTGCACTGTCCAAAGAGGACTGGTGCCAACCTGGGTAAAAATTAGCCATATGGGGGGAAAAAAAATAAAAATTCCTCAAAAATCAGATGATCTCTGCTGCACTACAAGTGTGACCCACACAAATCAAACAGGTCTTGAAGCAAGTGTTCTCTCTTAGAGGTGCCTGCATCTCTCTCCCTCAGCAGAGGGTTTCTGTCAGGGCATTTCATTAGTCCTGCCCTTTCTGTACAAGCTCTTGTCACTCGTATAAGTTGCTATTCCAACATGAAGGCCAAGGAGGAAATGTTTCTGCAATTCTTGAGCTTTCTGACACCCCAGAGACCCCATGACTGGGTTCCCTCCCCTTCAGCCACGAGGGCCAGGACTTTAAGCAGGACAACTGCATAGCCCTCCTTGGGCACCACATCAAGCTCTAGTTAATTTATTCTGAAAACAAGATTAAAGCACTAAAAGGCTGATATTTTCCTTTGAATGTTGTCTTCATTTATGAGCAATGTTAACTTACCATTTCTTTTGGGAGAGGAATTTTGATAAACATGAATGATAAAACCTTCCACCATACCGGAAAGGAAATTTGCATAAATTTCCATCCTCTGTAAGCACTGAAATACAAGAATAAAAACCTCATCATGCAGCTGAAATCCAACCCACATATATATGTTATTATACGAAATTATGAAGACAGATCTTCAAGTTTTTTAGCTGTACATTGGACTATGTGTCTCTGCAACTTGTAGTGCATAAGAAGAGGCTTAAAATCCTACGTACTGCCTGAATCAACAAAGATTAATGGGCTCTGTGGTAAAATAAAGATCTCAGATCATTTCAACTCAAAATACATTGCAATTTCTGGTACAGCAAATGCCAATTATATTCATTAATTGCAATTATCGTTTCTAATTACGTAGTATTGTAATAGCATATTAAATTTATTTCTGAACTAGTATCCTTTCAGGCTCCATATCACGTTGTAACATCTGTTTAAAACAATTAAGGCATCAGACAGTACATACTGAAATAGAAACAGCCAAGAGAAAGTAGGTTTTAAAGGCTGGGGAAAGGCAGATGATTTTCATCATACCACCATCCCTTTGGGATAAGCAGATTCCTCATAACTAAATGGGGAGAAACTGATGGGACCAGTGTCTAAAAAGGGCAAGTTTTACGTTCACTACATCAGTGGTGGGAGGCTAAGGAAGGGTGGTGGGAGGCTAAGAGACAAAAAAATCCGTGGAGACGAGTCTTGAGAATGAGGAAGACTGAAGATAAAAAAGACAATGAAAATCTGTCAGAGCTCATTTAACCATTGAACCAAAAGCAATCAGTTGTGAGAGCCGGGAGCATGAATGGGAAGCCAACCACTGCTGCAGGAGAGAAATGGGGCGTACAAGGGAGCTGGCAGCACAGCACGTTTCCATTTCTCTGGACAATGTACAACTGCTTCTTGTCCTGAGCTTACCCCTGCAGTTACAGCTGGGGCTCCTGCACACCTTTCTAATAGCTGTTAACCTTCACAAGCCCAGATTCATCATTTCAAAAAGCTCCTGAGGCCAATTATTGGCATTATGGAAAAAAAATAACTCTTCCTTGTGGTTCAAACCCTTCCTAAGCAGTCAGAATTATGGTCATTCAATCTGCCCTAACTGTCCCCCTGCCTGTCAATGCAAAACAGCTTCTATCAGCCCTCTGCTATCCCTTTTTTAAGCCTGGTTTTCATTGTCTGAAGTAGAAGTTCACATATTTACCTTCTCTGTCTGATACCTCGTGTTATAAGCAGTTAAGAGAGTTTTGAAAATACATCTCAATTCAGAAGACATATTGCACCCCAAAGGATGTAAAAGACTATTTTAAGTCATACAGGCACCATTAGAGGCCCAGTTCATGGAATCCATAACAGCAAAAGCCCAGGACAGTAAAAGCTCTAAAAATGGAAGCTGCAATGCCCACACACAACCAGGATGACTGACTGCCATCAAAACAAATGCAACCCAGCAAATTGCATGGGGCTCAACCCCTTCTCCCACAAAGAGGTCAAGGGCTAGGGCAGAAATTGAACCTATACATATGACAAGCTTATGTACTTCACAGTCAGAGGGCAGACACAGATCTGATTAAAATAAAGGGTGTTGCACCTCTGCAGCCACACCATGTTATGAGTGAATGTAAACCACGCCAGCTCAGAGGAACTAAAATCCCATCAACACCTCCCCATTAATCTGCACCTGAAGGAAAATCACCTGAGATTCCTGAGTTAATCTCAAATTCCCCTCCACACAGAAATTAATATTGGCATAAGCACTCCATAATCCTTATTCTTGTTGAAACAAAGACAGTCTTAGTACGGACTTGCACAGCATGGATACAGACAGGCAGATCTTTCTTACTGTCATGAAAACTATTGGATTTGACTTTGTACCTTGTGGGTGAGTGAACTCATGTTTTGAGCCTCTTCCTGCCCCAGATTTGTAGTGCTACAAAGAGAAAAAAAGAATGTGGATTGGAGACACAAATTCACTCTGGGAATCATCCTATAGAGACAAATGTGCTTTCCAGGATGTCCTGAAATCATGTTTCTTCCAGTGCTTCTCCTATTATTTGTGTGTGTGACTTTTGCTGGGGCACAGTCTGGTGAAGAAGAGAAGATAATCACTGGTTCTTGAGAGGTCTGTGTTAAACCAGGAAAATCCAGCACAGCACAAAAAATAGCAAAGCCCTGCTCCATTATCTTTCTATTGCCAAGGGAAACATCTCCTATTTCACTCAGCAGGA